GTTTGATGGTTAACCGACTGAGCCACCCAGGCACCCCAAGAAATACTTTTTCTGCTAACAGGGAATTTACAGTGTGAATGTATTATTGACAATTTAGAGAAAGAGGGAGAGGACAGGAAGGTGAACATACAGAACGGTTTTAAGTCCTTTAGTCCTTAAAACCCTCAGCTCATAGATCCTTGGTCTGTCCCCAAACCTGCCTTCTGGCTCCCGATCAAGTCCGTGCTCCTTGTCCGGCAATAACCTTGTTTCCAGAAAATCAATCCTGACGCTGCTGATTCTTCTCCACTTCTGTGACCCACCAACAAAGCAGCATGGCTTATGAGCTCTAACCTGCCATTGGAATGTTAGTCTTCATCTTCTCCTATCATGAGTAAGCAGACCATTAACTCACTTGTCCCTTTATTTTTCTTTGACATGTGTGTTTGTTTATGGCCCCATCCATGTACCGCGAGTGTCCTGGGCTGCATTCCTGCTGTCAACAGCTTCCTGTTCAGTGAACTTGAAGGCTTTATAGCATACCAGAAAAGCATCATCTAGTCTAACTTCTCAACCAACATCGCTGTGTTCATTCATTTGGCTTCTGCTGAAACATTTTCAGAGAACGGAAATTTTTAAAGCTGTGACACAGCATATTAAGACAGCGATAACCATAGTTATTTCTTGCCAGTAATAGATATTCAACAAGTGTTGAGTTTAACATAGAGCTGGAGTCTATGTCCACATTATCCTTCCTTTTGCCTTTGCGTGCTCTTTGAAATGATAGCAAGTACATTCATTCATGTCCCAACTGGGAGAATTTGGAAATTTGTGGGACTCCTATCCAGATACCGTTAAGCCTTCTTTTTTTCTGGGATAAGCATCTCCAATGTCTTCAGCTGTTATTTGTTTACAAACATTCCCCTTTTTTCGGGCTTTCTGGTTCCTCTTTATTAAGGTGTCCTGGCTTGTTCTAAAATGCCACACTCAGAAATAAAAAACATGATATTAGGTAAAAATTGACCAGTATGAGGTACATTGGATGGATTGTTGTCTTAATTTATGAGCACTTTACTTCTCCAGAAGCAATTTATGATTAGATTAATTTTTGGCATCTGCAGCCTCTGATTTATTTTGAGCAAACTGCCAGCCCAAACTTCTGGTTCTCTCATTCAAAATCTACTTCTTAGTTAAATGTGTCTACCTTTCACTTTGGCCACTGTTTGAATCCAATTGTAGGACATTACATTCATTCCAATTTAAGTATTTCTATTTTTGCTAATTCTGCTCTTTTGTCACTTACAATTTCCACTCTTGTTTATTCTCCTATCAATTCTCCTCGATTCTGCATCAATATTAAATTTGAAAAACACCTTAAGTTACCTACTCAGTGTCCTTAACTTAGTATGCAAAGGCTACATTTCTAGAAACTAAGGAACGAATGTGAGGAAATACCTCCTTAAAATATAAGGACTTCTGTCTCCTTGAAACAGAAAATGTGTAGATATCATCTGTTAATTTTTTTTTTTAAAGAGCTACTTTATTTTATATAATGCCACATTATTCTTTTTTTTTTTTTTCAACGTTTATTTATTTTTGGGACAGAGAGAGACAGAGCATGAACGGGGGAGGGGCAGAGAGAGAGGGAGACACAGAATCGGAAACAGGCTCCAGGCTCCGAGCCATCAGCCCAGAGCCTGACGCGGGGCTCGAACTCACGGACCGCGAGATCGTGACCTGGTTGAAGTCGGACGCTTAACCGACTGCGCCACCCAGGCGCCCCTCATCTGTTAATTTTTAAGCACACAGATCACAGTTGTGCAGCTTGATAAATTATCACAAAATGCACCCACCATGTAACCACCAGCTAAATCAAGAAAAAGAACATGTCCAGCAACCCAGAGACGTCAGATAATAATATCTAGCCCCCCAAAACAAACACTACCCTCATTTACACCGCAATATTAGTTTTGCCTGTTTTGAATGTCATAGAAAGGAAATCCTTACATGCACTGTTTTGTGTCTAGCCTGCTTTTTTATTCTCAGTGTTGGATAGTATTCTATTGAATGGTTGTACCATAATTAATTAATCCATTGTACAGTTTACAGTTTTAAGCTAGTGAAAATAGTGCTGCTATTTACATTCTTGATTATCTTCTGATGCTCAGTGTATCCATTTCTGTTGGGGGGGAGGTTAGAATATGCGCATGTTCAACTTTAGAAGACTCTCCCAAGTTGTTTTCCAAAGGAATGGTATCTTTTTAGAGTCCGCAAACTGGGTTTGAGCGTTCTACTTCTTCCATATCATGGTCACCACTTAACGTTGTCTGTCTTCATGATATTAGCAGTCCTGAAAACCCCTTAGAAGCAGTGGCATCTCATTGTGATATGTAAATTATATTTTCTTGATATTAATACAGCTGAGGGCACTTTCATTTGCTTAATAGCCATTTGGACATTTTGTCTTGTGAAATGTCAATTGAAGATTTTCGCCCAGTTTTTAATTTTTTTACATTTATTCATTTTTGAGAGAGAGACAGAGCATGAGCAGGGGAAGGGCAGAATGAGAGGGAGACACAGAATCTGAAGCAGGAGCTAGGCTTTGTCAGCAGAGCCCAATCAGGGCTCAGACCTGCGACCTGTGAGATAATGACCAGAGCCTAAGTACAATGCTTTTAACCAACTGAACCATCCAAGCGCCTGAGTTTTTCCCATTTAAAAAAATTGAGTTGCCTCTTCTTCTTGTTGATGTACAGAAATGCATGTGTGTGCCAGATATATTTTTTGCAAATAGGTTATTTCACTTTTTGGTTTGCCTTTTCACGTTTTCCATAGCATATTTATTTATTTTATTTAAAAATTTTTTTTAATGTTTATTCATTGTTTTGAGAGAGAGGGGTGGGGGGAGGGGCAGAGATGGGGAGACACAGAATCCAAGCAGGTTGCAGGCTCTGAGCTCTCAGCACAGAGCCCAGTGCAGAGCTTGAACTCCCAAACTGCGAGATCATGACCTGAGCCCAGATGCTCAGCTGACTGAGCCACCCAGGCACCCCTTTCATATGAACAGAAGTGCTTAATGGACTATATATAATTTTAAATATTTCAATTTAGGTGTATTCCTTGTTTGAGTCCTCAAAAAAACTGTATTTCAACTCCAAGGTTGTACATGGTAGCCTATGTGGTTACCCCAGGTAGCTGTATTATTTCATATCTCATATTAAGATTTGCCACATGTGTAGAATTTATTTTTTAACATATTATGAGGTAGGGATACACATTTATTTTTATTTTCTACACTGTTTACACTGGACCATAAGTCTTCCCAGGCCATCATTTCTCCACTGTGCTAGAGTATCAACTTCATCATAAGTCAAGCGACCATATATGGGAGTCCCTTTCTGGAATATCTGTTTTTCTCCACTGATTGACTTGTGTATTCTTTTATCAATAATACTGTGTACGAAATACTATAACTTCAAAATAAGTTTTGATATATTTACATAATTTGTCCAGTTTTTTCATTTATTGAGACTGCCTCAATCATTCTTGGCTCTTTGCACTTCTATTTTGGTTTGGGATTAGCTTGTAGGTTTCCACAAAATAAAAAAAACCAACACAAACCAAAACAAACTAAACCAAACCAAAACAAAACAAAACACCTTTTGTGGGTTTTGACTGAGATTGAATTAGACCTGTATACATACATTCGCTGAGATGGAAAATTTTCAGTTTTCTCAACAATGTGTCTTACACATCTTTAAAGCTATTTTTATGAATTTGGTGCTTTGATGCTATTTTAAGTACTATTTTTAAAGACTTTCTTTTTAAATAATCTCTACACCCAATGTGGAGCTCTAAGTTACAACCCCGAGATCAAGAGTCGCATGTTCCACCGACTGAGCCAGCCAGGTGCCCCTTAGTGATAGTTTTTCAAGCAGGCTTCATGCCCAGTGCAGAACCCAATGTGGGGCTTGAACTCGTGACCCTGAGATCAAGACCTGAGCTGAAATCAAGAGTCAGAGGCTTAAATGAATAAGTCATTCAGGCACCCCAATACTATTTTTAAATTTAGATTTTTATACTGATAGTGTATGTAAGTGGACTTGACTCTTAGATACTGACATTCTAACCTGTGATTTTGTATGCACATACGGATTTTTGATAGTCTACATTTTACAATCTTTATGTAGGAAAATAAAGACGCCGCTATTTACTCCTTTTAAATATTACACCTTTTATTTTTTTCTCTTAGATTTATTTTTCTCTCTTCTCCATTGTATCAAGTACAACTGATGGTCAACGCCAAGTCCATTTCTGGTTTCAGGGAGGAAACATTTCATTAATTTCATTAAATTATACTACAGCATACAGGAACCTCATAGTGTCTGTTCATTATTATTTCAGAATTGTTACAAACAAGTGACTGCTGTGCCCATCCTACTCATCCCCTTTCAAACATGAGTGTTTATTGGGAGTAATGTTTCCTCACTCCACCATTGTATGTAGGTGGGTGGACGGCAGATGATTGACCTTTTTAGTTCCTGGATCAGGAGGAGGCACATATGGGGTCTGGAAACCATCATGGGAGTTCATACTGAGGTCTGATACTGTGATAGGATGGGTGTTAAAGAAGTGTTCCTATACGTGGGAATAAATATTCAAATTAAGAATACAACTTATTGTAGCAGTCAGCTTTTGTGGGATAACAAGTGCTCCAAAACTTAGTGTCTTAAAAAAAAACTATGTATTATTTCTAATGATACTGCATGAGAATCATCCAGGTAAACTGGGTGGTTCTTTGGGTCTGAGACAGCATAGCCAGGGCTGGAAGTTCTCAAATGGATTTATTTACAGGTCTAGTGGTGGGCTTTACCAATACAGCTCTTGCCAAAATCACTCAATGATCCTCATGTGACTGGTTCTGCTATGTAAACAGTATTCTACCTGAGAAAGTTAACACTTAAAAGATTTAAAAGGCCAGTATAACTGACCTAGATTTTCCCCCGCTTTGGCCATTGTAGGTCTTCTGTGATTTTCATGGCCACTCTCAAAAGAAGAATGTATTCCTTTATGGTTGTAGCATCAAGGAGACCTTGTGGCAAGCAGAGTCCGCTATGGGCACATCTACTGTCTTGGAAGATGTCGGCTACAGGGTAAGTCACTGGGGAGAATGACACAAAACATTTTGTGTCCACATTCTTGCCTTTGAGACACACGCTCCACCCATTTTTTCCCCCTAAATAAGCATTTTGATTATTTTAACTCTAGGGTTATAATACAAGCAGGTTGGAGGCATGTGTAACCCCTCTACACTTTCGATGCATAATGGCTATACTACCTGGTGGCTCTGCTTTGTTTTCTATATGATATGATACAGTGCAAAGGGCATGAGAATCGGAGACAGGAAACCTCATTTTAATGCCTGGCTTTATAGTTATTAACTGTGTGCCGAGGAGTCATTAACATCACCTCTCTGAACCACCATTTGTCACCTGGGAAGTGGGGACAATGAAAATACTGCCTCTGTTTCATGTTTATGAGAGCAGCAAAATGATGCTGAATACAAAAGGATCTTAAATTAGTATGAAGGAATGCAAAAATGCAAGACATTAGACCATCCACATGCCCTGTGTGAACACGCTCTGAAAAGCAGAGCAGTGATCCACTACTCCTGTATAGTGGATATATTTTATCTATAAGTAGCTAATTCTTTTTTTTTCTGGGTTCCAGTGGATAGAGCTCAACTCTTCCTCCACTGAACTAAAGAGGAAGTTAAGGAGGGGTAAAGAACAAAGGACTTCTTCCTGTCAGCATAAAGGGAATCAGGATAGAAGGAGATGAGGCAACATTGTCCAAACACAAAATAAAAACTGGCCTTTGTTTCAAATGTAAATGGAAAAAGAAGAAAAATTATTGAATTGGAAGAACTACAGTTCTCCTCTGTCTTTCTCCTTTACTTTCACATGGGACACTTCATTTCTGACACTTCTGGTCACCAGATATGTGGCGATTTCACCCCACCAGACACTTCTGAGACACCAACTGGGTGTTTTACAATTTAACCCTACCCAGAGACAGCGTCACATCCCTCAGGTTAAGGACTCATCCCACAAGACTGCTTCCTACTTCAGATGTCGATCACAAGGAGTCATTCCCGGGTTACCCACAACTTCTGTCTGACTTAGCTATGAGTTGGAGGGATCCATGATCTTCCCCCCTGCATTGGATTCAGTTATTTTCTAGAGTGGCTCACAGAACTCAGGGAAGCACTTAAACTTATATTTACCAGTTTGGTAAAGGGTCTGATAAAGGACATGGATGTTAGCCAGATAGATAAGAGATACATAGGGTGAGGACTGGGAGGGTCCCACGTACAAGGTCTTCTGTTCCTGTGGAGTTAGGGGGAGGGTATCATCCTCTTGGTATGTGGATGTGTTCACCAACTTGGAAGCTTTCTGAACCCCATACTGTTGGGATTTTATGGAGACTTCTTAATGTAGTTGTGATCAATTATTAACTTATTTCCAGCCCCTCTCCCCACTCTAAAGGAGTGGGGATAGCCTGATCCAGGACCTCACCCAGAATCACCTCATTAGAACAAAAGATGCTTCTAATGCTCTTATCACTTAAGAATTTACAGGGGTTTTAGGAGCTCCATGTCAAGGACTGGGGATGAAGAACAAAAACATATTTTCTACAATAAATCACAACATCACAATTATCATGGTACCTACCTCTTCCAAATTCTTTATTATTCTGGATATATGAATTTACTATAAAAAATAGCTTTATTCCCTGGGTTAATGAGTACTAAAAGAGATCAAAATCCACCAAACTACTATTTCACCTCAAAATAACTCCCCTTCTCCCTTAGTTTCTCTTCACTCTCTCCCTCCATGTCCTCTAGAAACATGAGTACTACTGATCAGTAGATAGTTCCCCAAAATGATTAGAGCAGAACCAACGAGTTATCTTTAGTTTCCTTTTACTCTAAGTCCCAACCACAATAATGAGGATTTTCAACGTTTATTTATTTTTGGGACAGAGAGAGACAGAGCATGAACGGGGGAGGGGCAGAGAGAGAGGGAGACACAGAATCGGAAACAGGCTCCAGGCTCTGAGCCATCAGCCCAGAGCCCGACGCGGGGCTCGAACTCCCGGACCGCGAGATCGTGACCTGGCTGAAGTCGGACGCTTAACTGACTGCGCCACCCAGGCGCCCCAATAATGGGGATTTTGATACAGAATTAGAATCTGGAAGGAAGGAAGGAAGGAAGGAAGGAAGGAAGGAAAGAAGGAAGGAAGGGAGGGAGGGAGGGAGGGAGGGAGGGAGGAAGGGACAGGAGAAAGGGCGGGAGACAGTGAGAAAGGGAGGGAGGAAGGAAGGAAAGAAATTAATTCTGGTACTGAGAAGTTCCACAACCAAAGTGAAAATTTCACTGGATGGGATCATTCAGCAGATATGTGATGGCAGGAGAATCAATCACTAAACTTGAAGGTCAATCCAAAATTACTAAATTTAAATTATGGAGAAAAAAAATTGAAGAAAATTCAGTAGCCTTAGAGATCTGCAGTATAGTATAAACAGCATAATACTGAATAGAATAATTAACCAGGAAAATATAATGAATGAAAGTGAATGTATATACCCCAACATATAAGCAAAAATTAACAGAATTGAGAGAAGAAATTTAAAAATCCAAAGATAATAGTTGGATATTTTAGTACTCTTTTCTCAGTAAGAAATAGAGCAATCAAACAGAAAATTAGTAATTTTCTGATCTGATTGATAACATATGTAACAATTCTTAAAACAGAAAAATATACATTGTTTTTGAGTACACATCAAAATTATCCTAGGTAGACCATATGCTAGCCTATGAAACAAGTCTCAATATATTTTTAAAGCACTGAAACCATCCAGGTATGTTCACTTACCATGGCAGAATTAAATTATAAATCAACTTTTGTAAGATTCTAGGGTCTCTTGGGATATGAGGAAATTAAACAATATACTCCAAAATAACTCATGGGCCAAAGAAGAAATCAGAAGGGAAATAAGGATATGTCCTAAACTGAATAAAAACAGAAACACAGCATATCAAAATTTCTGGTATGCAACTAAACTAGTGCTTAGAGAAAAAGTTGGAGGCACCTGGGTGGCTCAGTCGGATAAGCATCTGACTTCGGCTCAGGTCATGATCTCACAGTCCGTGAGTTCAAGCCCCGCATCCGGCTCTGTGCTGACAGCTCAGAGCCTGGAGCCTGCTTCAGATTCTGTGTCTCCTTGTCTCTGCCTCTCCCCTGCTCACACTCTGTCTCTCTCTGTCTCAGAAATAAATAATAAAAACATTTAAAAAAATTAAAAAAATTAAAAGTTGTAGGTTTTTTTTTTTATGTTTATTTATTTTTGAGAGAGACAGAGTGTGAGCAGGGGAGGGGCAGAGAGAGAGAGGGAGACAGAATCTGAAGCAGGCTTCAGGCTCTGAGCTATCAGCACAGAGCAGGGCTTGAACTCACAAACCATGAAATCATGACCTGAGCCAAAGTAGGATGCTTAACTGACAGCCACTCAGGCACCCCAAAAAGTTGTAGCTTTAAATGCTTATATTAGAAATGTGGAGCGATCTAAAATTGGTAATTTAATCTTTCACCTCTGGAACGAAGAAAAATAAGAGCCAATCAAACTCAAGGCAAGAATAAGAAAAAAAAAGAAAGAAAAAACCGAAATGGAAGTGAATGAAATAGAAAACATACAATGGGTAGAGGATCCATGAATACATGTGTGGTTTCTTGAATAGTCAACAAAATGATAATCCTTTAGTTAGATTCATGAAAGAAGACACAAGTTACCAAAATCAGGAATGAAATGGGGCATCGCAACATACGTTCCAAAATGTAAAAGAGTATTATCAACAATCACATGCCAATAAATGGATAAATTTTTAGGACAAAAATTACCAAAACTAACTAAAGAAGACATGTAAAATCTGATAGGGCCTATTTTAAGTAAATAAATTATATTACTGATTAAAAATCTCCGCACAAATAAAATATGGCCCCAATGGGTTTGTTGGTGACTTCTGTTAAACTCCTAAGATATAAATAGTAATAATTATTAACAAATTAGTTTTCAAAGATAGCGGAAAAAGACTTCTCAACTCGTTTTATGAGAGCTCTACTATTTTGACTCCAAAGCCAGAAAAGATGTCACAAGGAAAGTCAACATCTGTCAGCAAACATCTATCCAAAATCCTTCACAAAATATTAACAAGTCAAATCCAGAAGCATATAAAAATCATCATTCACTGTGATAATGTGGGGTTTAGCTCGTGAATGCAAGGTTAGTTCACCTTAAAAAATCAAATACTGTTCTATTCCCTGTAAATAAACAATGCAAAACTACATCATTATCTCAGTGATGTGGAGAAAAACATTTGAAAAAATTAAACATCCATTCAAAACAGAATCTTACAATAGACAAGGAATAGAAAGGGAATTCTTCAACTTGAAATTGAGCATAAAAAAAAGAAAAAGTCCTGTAGTTACCATCATGCCTAATGCTGAAAGATTAAATGCCCTTTCTGGAAGATCAGGAATAAGGCAAGAATATTTGCTCTCACCATTTCTGTTCAACATTTTACTATGTATTCTAACTAGTACAATAAGACAAAAATAGTAAAGAGAAGTGTGTGTGTGTATATATATATACACACACACACACACATATTTTTTTTAATATATATATTTTAATTTTAGTTTTTAAATTTACAGCCAAATTAGTGTATAGTGCAACAATGATTTCAGGAGTATATTCCTTAATACCCCTTGCCCATTTAGCCCATCCCCCCCTCCCATAACCCCTCCCTTAGCCCTCAGTTTGTTCTCCATATTTATGAGTCTCTTATGCTTTGTCCCACTCCCTGTTTTTATATTATTTTTGCTTCCTTTCCCTTATGTTCATCTGTTTTGTCTCTTTAAGTCCTCATATGAGTGAAGTCATATGATTTTTGTCTTTCTCTGACTAATGTCACTTAGCATAATACCCTCCAGTTCCATCCACGTAGTTGCAAATGGCAAGATTTCATTCTTTTTGATTGCCAAGTCATACTCCATTGTATATATATACCACATCTTCTTTATCCATTCATCC